GCAACAATCCTCCACTCAGCCCACGCGTATGTGTGTGGGGCCATCACCGCAGCCCAAAGCATCCGCATGTCGGGCTCATCACGTGACCTCATTGTCCTCGTTGATGATGCCATTACACCTCACCACCGCGCGGGCCTCGAGTCCGCGGGCTGGAAGGTCCGGCCCATTCTCCGTGTCCGCAACCCAAAAGCCGAGCCCGAAGCCTACAATGAGTGGAACTACAGCAAATTCCGCCTCTGGCAACTCACCGACTACGACAAGGTCATCTTCATTGACGCGGACCTCCTCATCCTCCGCAACATCGATTTCCTTTTTCAGGTAAACTTTATATGGATTATGCACCAAAGTTTTAAAAATAAAGTATTTTTTTAGTTAATGTGTAATGTACTTAAATATTGGTGTATATTTATTTATTTATTATGTAATGTATATGTGCAATGAATTTAGAGTTGTTAAGCTGCTTGTGAGCTCAGCTCGAGCTCTTTTGGTTAACGAGTTGAGCTCAATAAGGCTCGAAATGATGAATATTTATTAATTTCTATAGTTCGGCTTATTAAAGATCAAGTTCAACTTATTAATGCTTGAGCACAACTTCTTATTATTGATAAACGAGCCAAGCTCGTGCTCAGTTACTGGCTCGTTAAGTGCTCAGCTAGTTTACACACCTAGGAATGATGTATGTTTATCATATATGAATTATGCAGTAATTGATGTTTATTTTAGATTTATCTTATTTTTAATGAACAAAATTGCTCCTTTTTTCGACGATTTTGTGGAAAATTGATTTGTAGCCATTTTGATTCTAAAAGAAACCATTTTGTAAGATCCCATAATTGGTTTCTATAATCAAAATGACTAAGAATTTTTTTTTTTTAAAACAGAAACTGGCTATGTTTTCCATCTTTTTTACCTACAAAATGGCCAAAAAGAGATGTTACAATAATCAATCATTGATGACTTGATTTATACCTTCATTTTTTTTTAAAGTATGTAGTATTTTTTTTATTGATTTATATTATTTGTTATGTAATGAGTGTGTATATAAACATATAAGTATGTCTAACATAAAATACATTCATTGAGAAGGTCCACCCGCTATACTTTAACGACCAAAAAAAGCAAACTTACATTTTTAGTCTTATTGGTTTAACGTCATAGTAATTTTTAGTCCCTAGTATGTTCCAACATTTCGCGTTTTGGTTTGCTGCAATTTCAGTCCTCAAGAAATTACAACAAATTCCCAGATTTTCGGTTAGCAATTTAAGTCCTGTAATTTAAAATTTTGTTGCAATTTCAGTCCTCAAAAGAAATTGCAGCAAAATATTAAATCACAAGACCAAAAAGCGAAAAGGTGGAACTGTGGGACTAAAATTGTCATGACATTAAACCAATAGGACTAAAAATGCATTTTTGCCAACAAAAAATGCATACTTACAACTATCAAATTTCATACTCTTGTTTACGATGTTTTCTGAAATACGACATTTTCTATATTGCATATTGGGGAAAAGAGTATAATTACGTTTTCTTTTTCATGAGATGCCCGAGATATCCGCCACGGCTAACAACGCCACCCTCTTCAACTCGGGCGTCATGCTAGTCGAGCCCTCGGAGTGCACGTTCCAACTTCTAATGGACCACATTAACGAGATCGAATCGTACAACGGCGGTGACCAAGGCTACCTAAACGAGGTCTTCACGTGGTGGCACCGAATTCCGAAGCGCATGAATTTCCTGAAGAACTTTTGGGAAGGAGACGAGCCTTCGTGGAAGGAAGCGAAGACCCGCATGTTTCGGGCTGACCCGCCCGTTCTCTACGTGCTTCACTACTTGGGCCTCAAGCCATGGATGTGCTTTCGAGACTTCGATTGCAACTGGAATGTGGAGATTCTAAGGGAGTTTGCAAGTGACGAGGCCCACTCGACTTGGTGGCGGGCCCACGATGCCATGCCTCGGGAGCTGCAGAAATATTGCTTGCTTAGGTCGAAGCAAAAGGCAGCGCTCGAGTGGGATCGGAGGCAAGCGGAGATGGGGAATTTTAGCGACGGGCATTGGAGGATTAAGGTGAAAGACGAGCGTTTGAGTACGTGTTTCGAGGATTTTTGCTTTTGGGAGAGCATGTTGTGGAATTGGGGGAAGTCGAATAGGACGGTGGGCGTGCAAAAGACGGGTTCACGCTCTTCTTTGTAAGTTTTTTGTCGTTTTGTAGGTTTTTTTTTTATTTTATTTTTTTATTTTTATTTTTATACAAGGAAATGATACGAGGAAATATATATTTTTGGTGTCTTAATATGCATCTGGTTTTTGTAGTTTTTGTGTGTTGTTGGGTTTGGGATTTGGGGGGATTGTTTGAGTTTTGATGAAAAGGGTGTTGTCGATCGAGTAGAGGTGTTGTTCGTTCGGGAGCTCAGATGTTGGTAGCTTAAACGAGCACGAGTTGAGTGGGGGAATTGTTTAGGGTTTTAAAGAAAAGGATGTTGTCCTGAGTAGGGGTGTTATTCGAGAGCTGAGCTGGGTAGTTCATGTTCGAGCTTGTGCTCGTTTAAGCTCATGAAAGCTCGGTTCGGCTTAGCTCCGACTTGTTTAACAAATCTAAAATCTTAAACGAATTGTTCGCTGAATAAGTTTGGTTTCACACGGTTTTCATTTAAATCCATTAGAAAATGAAAAATATAAATTAAGAAGTTGAGTTGTTTGGGAAGCTCGGCTCGATTATTTTAATAAACAAGTTTGATCTGTTATTTGATAGTTCGACAAGATTTTTTAATCAACGAGTTCGATTAGTTGTTTGAGTTCTAACTTGTTTAAGTAAATGAACAAGCCGGGCTCGTTCGTTTACTTAAACGAGTCAAAACGAGTTGTGTCTGCAAACTGCCCGGTTTGAATAATAACTCTATTCTGAGGCAGAATTACATCTAACTTTATTATTCACCATTTTTTTTTATTTTTTTTTTATTTTTTTGAACTTTTCTGCTGCAGGTGCATATAATAACATCATTGCTCTTATTAGTTTTACATTAAAGCGTAAAAATAAGTTAAAGTTGGTTTCCTTCAACCAGTGTGTGAATCTCTCTGGATTCACAATACAATAAAATAAACAAATGAACAAATATTAGAAATAAAAAGAAAAAGAAAAAAAAGGCTATATTTTAAAATCTCTGTATTTATCGAGTCGTGGATCAAGAGCTTCAATGGCCGGGTCCTCTAGGGCTAGGTCCCGACGCTAGCCGCTGCAGCCAATTAGACATCATCGCTTTTGCATTCTCGTACGCTATCGGAAAATTGGCGAGATGGTCAGACCGAGAAAAATCTTCCGATAGTACCCTCGCGGCTTCGACTCGAGCTTGACTCATGCATGCCACACAAATCAAGAAAACAATGAAAAATGTTAAGGCACCTCTTTGGCTATTCATCTTTTCAAGTGCAAATTTTGTAGAATCTAAGATCTATGTGTTAGAAATATGAGAAGGTATAATGTACTTGTAAATATGAGAATTTATGCATGGGTTTCTTCCTTTTTATAGTGTGATACACTTTGAATTGACCAATGTAAAAATTGTTTATTTATTTATTTGTTCAATTTGGAATAGAGTTGTTCTATGTTTTCGTGTTGACTAGGGACATAAATGTCAAACTTGTCAATTTGAACGTGTCAATTTTTATTTATTTATTTTTTTTTCGTGTCAATTACTTGGTTGAAGTAAGCTTTTTCATACTGAAAAACTTGTGATTGTAATATAGTAATCGGGTTCTGGATTGTTGGATCAATACACATTTGTATACATTTGTTTATACGAGTACGTATTGATCAAATGTGAAAAACTCGATAACTACAATGTAGTTACTGGCAGTGTCGAATCTTTCGATCTTTTATCTATGTTTTATCTATAGGCAGAAGAACGTATAAATGAGTGAAATGTATAAATTAAAGCTAGTTTAAGCTTTAAAATCAAGTATTATTTTCCTTTTGGTAAAATAATTTTAAACTATACTAATTAGTGTAGATTTTTTGTATGTGTTTATTATCATTGATAATGTTCAATCAGTGTAATTTATGATTGCATATAAGTATAGACAAAAGTGTATATATTAATTAATTTATTTATTTATTGTGGCTTATGGTGTCTTGAAGTAGACATATTGTAGTTTAAGTTTTGGTCAAGATTTTTTTTGTTATTAATTAATTAACTAAAAATAGAATTCTGTGTGGGGAGCAAGCTTATGACTTTGAAAATTGTGGAACAAGAAATGTTTGATCAAACTATTGTAAAATGTAAATGCTTGAAATGTATACAAAATTGTTGTTGGCTACAAGCAACTTTGACCTAACCTAACCTTTATTATATGTCATTGAGTTTGATATATATATTTTTTTTCTAAAATTATTCGATAATTAATAAAATGTAATTCATGGCATCGAAATTGCTCATCTAAAAAGATGTGATCCTTTGTAAGACAAATCGATTGTGAAAGAACCAGTCATTGATCGGTCAAAAAGTGTCAATACTGAAGTGTCAATACTGATCAAAAGACGATCGATTTCGACCGATATTCAGTCGCTGGTTCAAACTAACGAATTATTAAACCAATAATTTGACATATTTGATAACCAGATTTTGAGAACCTTGGCTCTTAATCTAAAAATATGTTTTAGATTTACTTGTAAATACCATGAGACTTGACTTTAAGTATGGATATTTTTTTGGCATTTATTTTGAATTTTTCAAGTTTATACCTCTTGGTCAAGTTTTCTGACCTTTACCGAAAGCACATAGCACCAACCATCCACTAATCCACGGTAATAGTTTTCTCACGTTGAAAATGTTGAGATTACAAACAAGATTTTTGGGAAATTCTACTGTTCCGTTATACGAAATCATTCCGTCAAAATTTATAACCGTTAGATCATTATATAACTGTCGTGGATAGTTGATCTAACGGTTACAAACCCCGACAATATGATTCCGTAACAAACACGTAGGGCTTGATTGTTTATGGATTAATTTACTCACTTTTATTTCAACTCAAAATTTAACTCAACTTTAACTCAACCCCACTATCTTTAATATTATTCATATAATTAAATAATACAAACCAATCATTCTTACACATCACATCAACTTTAATTCACTATTCATCTACTCACATATTTTTAACTACTTATCATTTTCAATCATTTCCAATCATTTATCTCTTACTTTTACATCAAATCAATTTTAAACATTTTATTTTAAATATTATTTTAATATATTCTTAAAATTCCACTAACACCTAACTATACTACTTTTTTCAAATTTAACTATGGTTAACCAAAATAACTCATTTTGAACAAATTATTTCATAAACAAGTAGAATCTCCAAAAGAATTTTAAGGACTTTTTAATTTTTTTTAAAAAAAATTTGGTAGACTTTGTAATATTTTCTAATAAAAATTATATGAAAGTCTCAAAAAAGGTAATGAAACTTTTACAAAGTCCACCAAATTTAAAAATAGAATCAATTATATACATTCGAATTCGATAGCTGAAAATCTATATATATATATATATGTTATATATATAATTGTTGGTTCATGAACATTTAATAAAACATATTAAATTATGCCTATGTGGCAATATAATTTTTTTTCTCAAAAAAGGTTACTTTTTATTTATTTAATCTCTCATTTAATTATTATATAATCAACACACTAATCACTTTAAAATTTTAAAAATTGTTTTAAATTTTTTATTTACTTAACCATATAATGTGTTGATTATTTAACTAGATGTGTTGTGGTTACATTTAAATTAACTTCTTTTGAAAAATAAAAAAAATATTTAAAATTCCTAAATAAATAATTGATACATACTAAAATATACATTGCATTCAATATGATAAACGCAATATAAAAAAATATATATTTCAGCTATTTTAATTGTAAATTTGACAAAAACATTAATCTCACAATACTTTATTTATATAACTCACATGACGAATACTAGTTTAATTTAATTTCAAATTTTCAATGGGTAACAACCATATATCTGCAATTCTATTGACACAATTAAATGGACAATCATCAAAGTAATTGAAGAGATTAATATAATCTGCATTCAATCACCTAGACTGAGGTAGATGGATGTCGCCACACCCAGCGCGTACGCCCCAATCGCCGCCGCCAAGACCCCCTTCCCCGGCCTGACCACCGCCCCAAAACCCGCGATTCCCGCCACGCCGATCGGCAGACCCTTGAGCGCCTCCGCCCTCGCCCCCGATACGACGGCGTCCGCGAACACCTCCGCCGCGAACTCCCCGAACACCGCCTCGTCTAGGGTTATATCTTCCTCCTCCCCGCGCGACGCGCGGCGGGAGAGGACGGCCCGCAGGGCCCGGTCCACCTCGGCCCGATCCGGAGGGCGCGGGACCCATCGAGAGACGAGTCGGAGCGAGTGGGACTCGGAGAGGGTCCGATGGAGGCGCTCCGCGGCGGGGAGGAGCTGGTAGGGTTTCACTCCGGCGAAAGCGTGCTGGCTGAAGGAGAGGCAGTCTGAGTATGCGGCGGCGCAGGCCGAGTTGA